TATTAAATCTCACAACACACTGATTAACTGCATCATCCTCATATAAACAAGTATCTACTATCTACAGAACTATATTATAACAGTGATTCACCCTCTAGCCATTTCATACAGCTTCTACATTTTGTTTACAAGTTGAAATGTAGCCTAGTTCCAATGTACTGTTTATTAAATGGAGATGTATGCATCCCTAAATTAAAACGGGTTGTACCACACATACTAGATCTTACACAGAGGTTAGCTGTTATTAAATATCTACACCTACTTACTGTGTATCTGATGAGGCTCATTTGCTCATCTATTGGTTGACTGATTGACTGACTGAAACATATTCATACAAGGAGAAACTCACTGAGAGCAAGCTGTATCTTCAGCAGAGCCCTGTTTAAAGTGATACAAATATATTTAGTATGTTATGGAAAAGCCCCACGTTTCTGATCGAGGTGGAAACACAAAATCTGCTGTGGAGACTGTCAAGACATGTGGCCTACAAAAAAAATCACAAACCAAAGTTTGACTGAATGCAACGGTACCAAGCATTTTATATAGCTTCTTGTAGTTTTTGAGATACAGCCATTTCTGTATCATACTATATTTATTTTGGAGAATCTATAACAAGGAGCTGTTCTGGATCAGATACAGGTATGATTTATTGCAATGTGACGTCAGTGTGAGCCGTCATATCTAGATCAACATTCTTCATGCAGATCACTTCAGAACTGTGACTGTTCACACTGGAATCTGATATCGACCACATTAAATAAAGAGTACTGTGAACAGTCGAACCAAAAAACATTAAGATCTGAGCAATAAATCAGAATTGAGCGCTAAAGCTTGCACTATGAACAGAGTCTTAAGGATGTTTTTTCCTTTTGATTTATCACCCATTTATATATCCTGATATTTTTCATCCTTATGACTTAGAGTATATTCATACTTGACAACAGGAGGTAACAATAAACTAATGTAATTTTAATGTAGTGGTTACTTGTTATTTAACTGCAAAGGGCCTTAATGAAAGTGTATTTATGGTTGTAAGGTTCATAGGGTACCCAGCTTGTGTGATTTAGCATGGTCATTAAGAGCTAACACAGAGAAGGATTTATAGTTACCCATACAGTAGTCAGCTGCCTGTCTTGTCTTACTTGTCTTACCCCGTTTCCTTCTGTAAGCACTTTTACCTTTCCACCTTTAACAGGTCTTGTTTACATTCAGTGCTTGTCTGGCTGCGTCCCATTCCCTAGCATTCCCTAGAACACTAATTATTTACACATGATAAAGAAAAGAAAGCAGACTATCTGCATTAGGGTGAAGAGCAGTGAGTGTACCCGTACGTGGCAACAAAATGTCAGAGGGATTAATTTCGCTCCCACTTCGCACTTTTAAATGTATTTTTTATCTGCTCCCCCTCTCAAGGGCAGGCCTATGTGTTATTTATGCCCGGTGGAAGGCAGTGAATCCTGTATATGCATACGAGATCACAGCGCCAGGTGCCGTTCGCGCATATTATCTGGCGAAGCAATTACAGGGCAACGACTGGCCCAGGATACATAAGCTAAAAGGACCGGCTGCTCGTCCAACAGGCGTGTCTGCCAGGCATATCAAATGGAGTTCCCTCTCTGCCTCCACACCATAACTCAACAATGACAAAGCGGACCATAAGCAGTGAGAGCATGGACCACACTTGTTGTAGGCAGGACTCTCTAAGGGGAGTAAGAGAGAGACTATTTAGACCAGGTTACGTAGATAATAAACTGGGCAGAGCATTATATCAGAACAATAAAACTGGTACTTCAAAAAGTTCTAATTGTCTTCAAGGGTTTTTGGAACAAGGACCCATCTGTGCAGCCAATCTCAACAGAATCTATCTCAATTAGATGTAAAAAATACATGACTATATTAAGGTGCAGTATAAAAAGCGAAGAGTCCACGTAGGTTCAGCTGTTATCCAGGAGACAGGCTGTTATTGTCCTGTGTGAAACCAAAAGTCAATGTTTAAGTTACGTATGTAAGTTAACTTTAGTCAGGTACGTAACAAGGCTTACGATCTGTTCCTCAACCTGATCAAACATAGCATGCGAGAGTGAAAATGATCTGTCTATAGTCATATCGACATTATACCAGCAACATATACACATTTAACTACAGTTTTGATCTCTGTATCTATCGTCTCAAACATGAACAAAATATATTTTTTACTCAACACCTCCTTAATCTTTTTGAGATTAAAAGCTCTCTCGCGTGGACAGAATCCATTCATTTGTTAACAAGGCTTTTATTGTATTGTATTTATCAAAGGTAAACTATAGAATATAGTATAGTATAGAAAGGTAGGGCTAGCAGCAGCAGTAGAAACACACTCTGTGGATCAGCGGTAACCAGATGTTACATAATATCATTATTGCCAATTTGACCGTGGAATAAGGTGTTGAAAACGTGACACTTCCATGGTGCACTGTCCAGGTTGGAAGTTATTCTCCAGGCACTTAGTTTGAAGTAATCATTGCAGAGGGATTTTACTCCATATTCTGTAAAATATAATGTAAATATCAATAGTAAGTAGTATCAAGTAAGTATCAAAAGTAAGACAACAGAAATCTTGCTTTATGTGCCCACAGGACTAAGTGTGATTAAGCAGGTGCCTATGGCTCTAATATGTCTCTCTGCAACTTCATGAAGTAAATTCCTCATTTAAACCACAGTAAGTTCAACAACGCTGATCAGGTAGAATGGAACATTTAACATAAAGCCCTTCACACAGGCAATGATCAATGATAGCAGAGAGGATTGTTCAGCTCTTACTCTCTGCCCGCTTTAAACTCATTGACATAGATAGATGAGGCTTTGCAGCTTTGGGTTCGGAGGCATGTTCTGCCGCGTATACGGGCTGTTTGAGCAAGCTGCCTCTCCAGGCCCAGTCTGAGATGCAGACAGGGTCTCATGAGCGAGCTGCGTCCTGGGGCTCTGAGTGGAACGGTTGACTGATGCCGTGGAGATTGTAATTGTATGGCACTTATCTGCTCTCCCACAGGGCCTGTGCACACCAGCAACTGCATCCTACAGCACACACACACACACATCCATTCCATTCCATTCCATCTGCTAATTCAATCAGGTCCATATATGTGAAGAAGAGTCTAGAAGGTTGAGGAACAGAGAACAGAAACACGCATACACACACACACACACACACACAGTGATGAGGTGGTAATTTCATTATAATCAGGGCTCGTCTGTGGTTTGATGTCCTGTGTTCCTTTTCCTTACTGTAACCTCAGCTCTGTTTCTCATGTTTGTCTAACCAGCCTGACATCTCTCTGGCTTCTGCTTCTAGATCTAGACCTCCTCCTGACCCGCAGCTGTCTCATCTGCTTTGTGTCTTTTCTTCTCTCTTCTTTCCCCATGTTTGTTTCATCATTTCATTTCTGGACTTCTTCCCTTTGTCGCTTGATTATTCAACCCCGCCTCCTGGCCACTACAGGGCTTTGGGTTTGTAACATTTGAAACGAGTGCAGATGCTGACCGTGCACGGGAGAAACTAAATGGTACAATCGTAGAGGGACGCAAAATAGAGGTGCCTTCCCTTTTCCTGTCCCTCTTTACCTCCTGTTCCCCCTCTTCTTTTACTCCCCCTGAATCTCTCTTTCCTTTCTCTGCCTGCCTGACATTTCCTGCAATACTCCCCCTCCCTCCCCCTCTCTCCTTCCATCCATTTCTTTTCTCCCACCTGCCTGCTGCACCTTGAACGCTGCATGCCGAACCCTGATCCGTAAGTGTGTGTGACAAACAGAAAGACAGACCTACTCAGCGGTGTATATGCTTTGCTCGTGATGGATTGTGTCATGTGTGTTTGTGTCTGTTTCTTGTGCATGAGATAAGGGTGGCTTTGGTTTGAGTCAGAAACTGGCCTGTTATAACTGTGTGCCTTACACCTTGTTCAAACTTGTTGACCTTAAACCAGTTGTTGTCCCAGTTTGATGTCACCCTCCTCTTGCATGGAGAGCAACATTTCCCCATCTGTCTGCTCACTCTTTTTTCCTGTTTCCATTTTTCCATTTGAACTATAGGGCTCATCTAATGGACGGATCTTGAGGCTGTTTTAGATACTCATATTTTTTACTGTATCACAGGATCTTTAATTTTTTTTACCTTGACAACCTTTCATGTGGAAAACCAAAAAGCTCACATGCAGCAATGCTATCTCTTAGAAAATACTTTTAAATACTACTGTACTACTGTGCTTTCATATTTTTGAAGACATGTAAATGCTGCCTGCATTTGATTATTTTTATTTTTATTTAATTTTTTTGGTGTGGGTGTACAAAGCTTAATGGTTAAGGCAGATGGTAGTTTTGTTTAAATACTAGTAAATTAGTAAGTTTTTTGCCAGCTTTGAGTTGAGGTTTAAAGTGTGTGGTTAGCTGGTAACACTTTTATTTTAGATTCAGTATTATTATTCTAATTATTTCCTATTTAATAATAACACTTATACCTTTTTATTTTATATGTTTTATATATGTAATACCTTCTTACTTTATATGTTTTGTCATGCATTCTTAGCCAAGTCATCATTGTAAAGGAGAATTGGTTCTCAATAGACTTATCTGGTTAAATTAAGGTTCACAAAAATATTTTTATTTTGAAGCACATTGAGTCTATGCATGGCGTATAAAATGTGCTATATAAATAAAGTTGACTTTAGTTGACTCATCCCTTAAGTCACTTTTCAGTTTTTCCATATTTAACCCCGACCACCATGTCTCCTAATCTTAACTAAGGGCTTTGAGTGCCTTAACAGAGCCATACAAAAATGGAATGATTCCTTTGTAGCTATGAGCGAATATTCTAGCTGGAAAAAACAAACGAGATAGTGACATAATGACATTTTACCAGCTTGGTATAGAATACATGGATTAATATTGTTTCTTCATTATGTTAATAGTAAATGTGGGCAGCATTACATTTCCTCCAAAACCTATTTGCTGTTGCAAAATTTGTGGTATTTGTGTAATCTCTGAGGTGCATGCAGGGTTAACTCTGCGAGGGCCTGTTCGACCTGCGACGGGGTCAGGCCTGGGTGAAAGTGAGCTGTGAGTCCCTATAGGCCATTTTCACAGCAGACATTTTGACTTGTCAAAGCAGGGAAAGCACACAATCAATAAAATTAACGATGGCTCCATTCCATTAAGTGTCCCAGTAAGCAGAGTCAGTGAGTGGACATGCACAATTCAAGAGCCTGGGAACTGGTTCGACTAAATGGAATGCAGCCATCATTAATCTTATTGATGAAAAGGGTCTATTGTGAAATTATTAGCAAATAACAAACCTGTCAAATAAAGGGTGACCCAAGCTTCATGTTTAACCCTTTATAATACTGCAAACAAGCCAACTTAAATAAGTCAGCATCAGAGGCAAAGAGAGGTTCCTTTCCTTCCGCTGGGCCTTATTTTGGAAAAAAATACAATGTTTAGATCTTGTATGAATTACACATAGGATGTTTGTCAGGTTATATCAAACAAGTTCCCTGTTTTAATAAATTAAGCGTACCCTTTAGTTTACTACATGTCTTGTTTTGTACAATCCAACATCACCAACATGGCCATCACCTTGGTACATTTCATTTTGTTCTTCTAGAACGAAGGAAAAAGTATTAAAAGAGGTAGAAATCAGTAAGAGTATGGCCAAGTTGTTCTGGTACCAAACACACAGGCATCGCAGCTTCAAGGAGAGAGAAAGTCATGATTATGGCAACTTTTGGGTGTGTAGGCTTTTCCTAATTTACATTGTTATACTTAAACATTTTTACAACGAACTGCAGCTTTCTTAACTTGCGCAGTTATCTTTTAAATTGAGAAACATTATATGTGTATTTCATGGCCCAATTCAAACAGAATAAAAAAATCTCTCGCCATTAACTTCTGTACATATTTTTCCAGAATAAGGTCCCACGGTGGTCCACCGGTCCTAAGTAGCCCTGTTTTTTATCCTGAAGCCTTGTTTTTTCACCTGTAAATCACCTTAATAAGACTCACTGGGAAGTGGGGGCAGTCGTGTGTGTATCACTGGAGACAGGATGGATGTAGACATAACAGTGAAACCAGAGCACCTCCAAAACGGGATTTCAAGCATTTGTTAAGGTCTTAAATGAAAATCTTTCGTAACTTTTCAGGTTTTTTTCGTGCGTTCATTCTAATTCTAAATATTGTTTGACTTTATCTCACTTACTTTCTCTGATGTTTCTGAATGTGTTTCAACATCAGACCTTTGACTCACTGCATGTAGCCTCATTGCTGAAATTATAAAATACCAGCATGGCATGGACTGTGGTTGTGATGTGGATTATCCACAGTGTGCACTGTTTCTGTTTGTTTCTGTGTGTGTTTTTGTGCGTCTGCCCTCACACTAACTGCTGTCTGTCTGCTGACAGGTCAACAATGCCACAGCCAGAGTAATGACCAACAAAAAGGTGGCAAACCCTTACACAAACGGTAAGACTTCAGCCTTATTTTCCGTCTCTTCCCAGCTCCTTTGTACATCTTCTAATTACTGCTTGCCTTTCATTTCTTCCACTCTCTGGTTTCCTTGCCCATCGTTACATTTCACTCCCAGTATCAGATCTGGCTGCATCACAGAGTGCCAGATCTTATGGTTATATTTATGAGGAGAAGTGAATCGTTATGATCCAATTTCACTTATTGAGCTTGAATTTTTGAATGAAAAGAAAACCAAAAGCTACACATAGAAGCCAGGAAGCAGATTCGGGCTTCGCACAAAAAGAGTTGTGATTATTGAAACTAATATTTGTCAAATAGGCAGTGGGTTTGGTTTGAAATATCACGCAAATAGCAAAGTGAAATCTTTTCTCACTCGTCAGGGAAAAACGTTGAATGGGTGAAAGGAAAAGGGCGGCGTAGAAAGAAGAAGATTGGAGACAGAGGGTGGATTTAAAGCAGGAGGAGGAGAATTTGGTGGATGGACAAGAGAGTGAATGGGTAAATGAATAGAGCCAATAAAAGGAGCCGTGAGGCATTCTTGAAGAGGGGGAGAAGGACCTTTACGTTGTGTTTCTCTCCTCCGTCTCACATTCATGTGGATGGAATGAAAGAGTGGTGGAAGTGAACAGCGGAGATGCTGAAAAGTAAAAGAGGGAAAGAGGGGGAGGGATGGATGAACAAGAGGAGGAATTAAATGGCCAGAACTGGTCAGCACCTCTATTCCACACACACACACACACACACACACACACACACACACCTCCATCCTGTTTGAGGGTGCAGAGAAAGAGAGAATGAGCCCTGAAGGGTTTTCCATTTGTCACTGTCATCAGGCCCCAAGAACAAACACACACACACACACACACACACATGTATTTCCTCCCAACTCATCTCTCTCTCTCTTTCTTCCACTCTCTCTCTCTCTCTTTCTCAGTTCTGGTCAATCTGCTTTATTGGCTTCAGCTGTGGTTAAGCATACTGTTGCCAACACCAAAAATACAACTGAATAAAAATAGAAGAAGAACTACAGTAGTGCACAACAATCAGTTATTTTTTCTGGTCCCCAGTTGGTGAACACTGAAAGAAGTAGACACAATATTTGCTAATACTTAATTTGATGTGGGGTGCATAAAACATGTTTTTGTCTGTGTTGTTTTAGTTTTTCCATGTGAAGCACTGGGCTGCATGTTTGTATGAAAGGTGCTGTATAAATAAAGTTGAGTGGATTGTCCTTCTGGCATCCGCAGACTGCTCTGCCTTTACTGTCGGTGATCGTGACAATGAGTTTCCCAATAGACAGATAACATTACTTATAGAGGCACACCGATTGCAATTTTCTTGGCTGGTTTCAAAGTCAGACCTGCTGATTCCAATGTTTCTTTCGAAGAACTATAATTGACAGCATACACAAACACTTTTGTAACTTTTTTTTTGATGGAAAATTCTATTATATGTTCATAATAAAACACTGAATAACAGAATGAACAGAGCCTTTTGTACAAATACAATCCAACTGAAAATGATTGTAGTATATCTTATTCCACCATTTCAATTCCACTTCCACCAGCTGCAGGTGAGAGGAATCTTGTTATGCCTTCTTCACTCATATATGAGACTCATCGGTCGGTCAGCGGTCACGGGCAATCAAGTTTAAAACCAGCGGTTTCCAGTCACCGGCCGATTAATTGCTGCATCTCTAGTCACTTGATGCTAAAGTAACCGTTAAAGGCCCAAGTATGCTTGCCGCTTGAGACCTGTCGCGCACTGTGACGTCAAAATGACGTAGATCTCGCTGGCGCGCCATGATTTTGGCCTGCTCGCGCGAGGTGGTGAATGTTAGCATGGCTGAATGAACTTGTATCTGCTTCTGGAGTCCAAACAAACCTTCAGAATCCCACTACACTATTATCTTTTCCTTTTTGAAATTACAAGCTATCACAATATCAGCCTTTTGCTGCAATATCGTCCATCCAAGAGGAGTTATACTGGTATGTACTTATGGTGAAGGTATCTCTTTGGTAGGATTTTTGAAAAGGGTTTTTCAAATTCAATTCAATTCAATCAATTTTTATTTGGTATAGGCGCCAATTCAATAACAGAAGTGTATCTCAGACACTTTCTGGCTGTTGGCGGTTATATCATTGTGGTTGTGTCCATAAAACATGTCCCACCATTTCCATTTGTCACTTAGGGAGTAGCTATAGGCAGCTGCCAGTCTGCTAGGATATTTTATTGAAAAAAGTCATACCAAATAATCAGATATGTAGATGGGTTGGCAAAACTAGGAAGCCATTTGTTGGTCTGTTATGCATTCAAAATAGTATGTGCATGTGTATTTTTTCTGCTGCAAGTGTTGCACCATTTATATTCAAACGCGACGTTTAAAACATCAATTCTACATGGCAGGTTGCTAAAATGCGCCAGCTACTGGTTAAAATGGCAGCATTTTAATGAAAATCTCAACTGTTACTGTTAAGCTATGGATATAATGCAGAAACGTGACCAATGCACAATCAACAAAGTCAATTTACCTACAGATTGAACTTTTTTATTACCGATATCCTCTTATTTAATGCTATATACTGCAGCATTTGATATTGTATATATTGTTATGTAAATATTATATTTTTCTGTGTCCTTATTGATAAATGTATCTGCTGGGTGGATGTGGCACCTGATTGGAAACTGGTTTACTTGAATCTTTAAATATTGAGGTACACTTCATTTGGAAGGGTTGTTGCATAAGACTGACCAGGGACACTTTTCATTACATGAAGGCCAGTCCCGTTATGAATGTTTGAAACTGTTTGTCCTTAGTACGGACTGTTATAAACATGCCATAAAAATACTATTTAGGCTTTATGTGCTTAGCAATTATATCTAACTGTTGATATCGTGGTGCTTGGGACATTGGGCTGTCATGGGGAGACCACTTATAATTGCCTAGACAAATACTTTGTCTAACAGGTGTCATGAATAATTCATTTTTGACCTCATATACAGTGGGAACCATTTTGGACTTCTTCATTAAGCATGTTCATTAAATGCATTTAAGACATACTATTAATGCAGCATACGCCCACAAGAACTGATATTTTTTGCCAACTTGGCACGCCCTTCAGTGTTCAGGAGGTGCAATGGCGGGGACCGTTGCTGAACAGCAGACATTTTGGTCATGTCATAGGCAAAAACCTTCACAGGTCTATTACTGGGACTTCATTTCATTGGACGTGCGAGGTCCTGCCATTGTGCATGGGCTGCGTTCACTGTCACTGTCTCGGACACTTATTGGGAAATGAGCTGTTATACAGTGTTGATTAAGTCACCGCATGTTTTTTATTTTGGTGACAATGTGCAAATGTCTGCTGGTGCAAACCAGTTCCATTCCTTTTATACCAACTGTCACTGCATGCGCCTAACTGATCTAAGCTAGCTAAAGCAGCTTACAATTAGGAACAGTTAAGCCCGTCTTGTAGGACTTGCACTTGCCGACCTGTCGCGCCTGACACGTGACGTCACGGGAGCCGCCCGCTAAGCTTATTCATACCTGCGCTTGGGTGGGTCGCCCGACCACTAGTTGCAGGTATTGCTGCCTGAACAGAGGGTAGCCGCCACTGGGAGCCAAAGACTACGACTTTTGCCCTATTTCTACGCACTTAGAAAAGAAGAAAAAGGGTAAACGAATGGCGCGGCCTCTTTTTTGATTTTTCCAAATCGGTCGCGGGGGAGGTTATTTTCGGCATATGGCTCCCCTTGCTCCAACGCATTCATGCGCAAGGAAGGATCGTACAGATGCCTGTAGGGAGGCCGCACTGCGCGGAAAGCCTTCCTGGGTTTCCGTTTGGCCACGGCCTCAGGCTGAAAAAAAAAGGAGTGGT